CTATATATATCTATATATATATATATTATACATGCACAAACTTGTCAGTTGTAAGCCGACACATCCAATATAATATTTGCCTGTTATCATGAGGTTTTGAAGAAAAAATATATTATAAGCTTTAAAAGGCATGCGCACCCTCGATAAAGGTTTATTTATAGACTATGTATAATAAGTAGAAGAGACAGGTTTTTGTTCTGTTGTCCCCTCTCACCGATCATTCACAGAGCTGCATCATATACAAGTCACCTAGCTGGCTATTTCATTGTGACTGACCATCTCAGTCCCCTTGACTGACCTTTTAGAAGTAACCTCCCCCCCCAAAAAAAAATATTTAAAAAATAAAATAAAATAAAATAAAATAATTTTTTTTAAAAATTACATTAAATTAAATAAAATGTAAAAATATTTTTTTTACAAATTTTATTTTTTTAAAAGTTCAACACAAAATTGATCATTTAACAAATAAGTTCCGAGATCATGATACTATTGTGAAAGCCATTGGTACAGATGAGCACACAATTGAAAAGTCCATGGTGGCGGTAAGGTCACAGGACCAAAACAAACAATATAAAAAGCACACGTGCATCAACAGGGTGGTGAACAGGAACTGGGGAAACGTGAGTAGTTTGTAGAGGGTGCCAATGGGGACATTAACTGCACGTGTGTGTGGTAGAGAGAGAGAGAGAGAACTTGTATGCGTGTTTGTGTTTGTGTTTGTACGTGTGTGTGTGAGTGAGCGAGTATGTGCGTATGGGAGCGCGCACGCGCGCGTGTGTGTGTGTTTGTGTGTGTGTGTGCAACAAGTCTACCGTTTTTATCCCACTTTATTAACCACTTGCTTCTCCATCCGATGGTCCTAGCCACAAAAAGGAGCAAAGAGACCACAATATATCTATCCCATTACGATTGATACAGTGTCACAGCTGAACACAAGCTCCACAGAAACTAAATGCTAGCACTTGTATTTTTAATACTACCAAGTAAATCTCTACAAAAGCCACTGTTCTGTTAAGTTCACCCACTCATTAGATCTACCGGCACTGTTTCCTTTACCAACTTCGCATCCAACAAACGTTCAACTTTTCTTCACAATCCCATAGACTGTTTTCATATATCTATACTGTTTTCATAAGTCTAAGTTCATAGATTGCTTTCATAAGTCTAAGTTCATAGATTGCTTTCATAAGTTCAAAGACTGTTTTCGTAAGGTTTTGGTTTTGTCAAATAGGCCTAAAATTGTAGGTATATGGTTTTAAGCCCCTATCAGTCTTGGTTTTGTGCGCGCTTTGGAAAGGCGTATTACAGACAGTGTACAACAATCCTTGGAGCAGGAAGAACAAGCTAAACGCACACAGAATCACAATCATGTCCATATTATGTCCTGTACTTTGAGAAGCAACGTTAGCGCAAGCCGAGTGCCACATCTATTATAAAAAAAAAGTATCCAATCAAAACAAAGTTGTTACGCTTTGTTCGCGAATATGATTATAAATATATTATCTAAAATATAAAGTATTATTTAATTAGCTCTGCCGCAACCGTGGCCATCCTCACCTTTCAGTTTCTCGCATGCACAGCAAACCAGCACCCTTTACCAATCAATCGTTTAATATATAATAATGATACATTTATACTACCAAA